GAGAGCACACGTGTGCTGTCTGTGCCGCCCAACATACCGTGTGGTGTGACCCAGCTCCAAGAGTGCCTGTGCCCCCACCCCAAAATAACAAGCAAGTTCTGGCTGAAAACTCTGGTGCCTAGAAGAAAGTGTTGAATTTGTTTCTTCCCACATGGGCTGGAATTACAGTTAAAGCATTATGTGTGCTTTGAGTCATTGCTGTGAATAAACAGACCACTGCCCCACCTTACTCTATTTTACACTGGGGGGTTTGACGCATTTTTGCAGAACATGATCTCTGTGCTTCAGTAAAATGCCGTAAATGAGGTATTCCTTCACCTGTCTTAATAATTTCTTAGGTAAGATGGGCAAAGGATCCACTTGGTGGGCCTGGAGGGGTTGCTGTGAACATTCAGCGATGAGCTCGCACAGGAAGGGGCGAGATGTCTCTAATGCGTGTAGCTGTGGAGTTCTCTCAAAACCAGAGCTGACCCCAGGGCTTTGGGTGCTACCGGTAACAGGTGACAGCTACGGGGGAGGTTTAACAATATACTGAAATTCATTCCGTGCACCTGCCTCTGTGTGAGGGCCTAAAGACCACTGCTTCCTCACATTCAGCTTTTACAGCCATATAAAGAGGCAAACACAAAATCAGATGCTGAAAAGGGCTTTAAAAGTTTTGCAGGTTTGAGCATTGCCAGAGTGAATTAATCCCCAGTAGTTACTGTGCCATAAAGATTAACATGCCGTTTCCTCCCCGCAGATGTGTTTGCTCTCGCTTTGGCAATTAAAGAGATGAGCGTAGCAACGCGTAAAGCTCGTACGACTCTGTGGTGTGCGCTCCAGATGACCTTACCGAAATCTGCAGCTGGAAAACCAGATCCAGAGAAAGCTCTTCGGGAGATGGCGCAACCTGAGGAAAAAGGGCATGAAAACGCAACGGCTGCGGCATCCTAAACCCGATGGCTGAAGTAAGCGAGCACTAGCAAAATCCCAGCTGCGTGTGAAATACACTCTGCGGTCTGTGTGTATGAGAGGTGGTACACTAATTCTTTTTAATTATCTGTAAAGTTTGAACTACTAATATTCATATTTAAAGCTGTATCTTGATGAGAAGTTGAATTTTCTCTAAGGGCTCTTGGGTTCTACTTAAACTGCTCACACGACGGCAGCGTCAGAATATTGTAAAGCCAAACTGGTGAATGTTAACTTAAAAAATAATCAGACTAATTAATTAACAGCCAACCTATTATTTAACTTCTGCAGGTGAACCCTGGTGTACAACTCTTTTTACTTCTTTTAGTTTTACTTTAGGAAATAGGTTTTAAAATAATGATTCTTCAAGACTGTAGTCTAGTGGGGTGGCCGGTCAGTATCAGATGAGATTGTGATGTAAAAATGGTTTCCTTATCAAACTAGTGCCTGGAAACAGGTAGGAAAAAAAAGCTAAAAATACCCAATATTCATGTAAAATTAAATATTTAAAATCAAAATATTTATGAATTTGAGATTTTAGAATCTAAGTTTGTAAAAGGAGATGCACCGGGTTCTACTAAATTACTGGTATGACCAAATCGCTGTTGTGAAACCATGCAATTTCATGACTGTGTTCCAATCATCTGGGCATGCTCTTGGGAGAAAAAAAAACCCTCTGTTTTAAAGTATTTAAACGTAATCAAAATCTGACATGCACACAGGATGATCCTTTAGAAAGCTGTGCAGCAGCTGAAATGATGAGTGGTGTTTTTAATGCCTTCACTTTAACATTGGAAGAGGTATCACAAAGTTCGGAACTTTAGGTCTTTTTAAAGTTGCTCTTTCACTAGTTTGGTTTAAAATTTTGTTGTCATAATTTAGATTTATTAGTTCACCTCTGCATTTGTGACAGCTATTAATACTTGGTGTTTGTCTGTGTATCTTAATCTGTACGGAACGTAAGTAACTTATTCACAGAGACAAAATGTTGGTATTATGTGGCTCGGGAGACACGGGGTTTTAACACTTGTAGCATCGCGTTTATAATGTGTGGATTAAATTTCTTCAGCTGTCCTTGCCCAGATCCCCTGATATTTTAAATATCTGTGTTCTTCCTGCTTCTGGGAAGTCCTGATATGCAAAAGGTGTGATCGCACCACATAAATTGTCATGAGATGATGTGAGAAAGAAACCGAATGAGAGTGGAGCAGAGAGCGGAGTAACCGTTCTGATCACTGAGAGGAGCAAAGCACTGCCAGAGCGAGTTTCTCGGGGCAGGAGAACAAAGCCCGTCCTCACACCGCAGGTCACTGCATTAGGATCCGTTCAGTTTAACCTCAGACATGTTGATGTTCAAAGCGATACTGTGCTGGCTTTAGTCTGTCTGGTAAGAAATAAAATTCGCTTTTGTTGAAGAGCATTTGTTGTGCGATTGTCTTCATAGCCGCAGCTCCGAGAACTTGGTCCGTTAACGGGGATTGACGTTGTCATTAGTTACTGAAGTACGTGAAGAGGTGTAAAGCACTGGTGACACTGACATTGCTCTCCTGGGGACAGAATGACAGTAGTGTTGGGCAGACCCAGGGAAAATGGTCTCGGTGTGCTGAAGCCACAGTGGTGGCTCATTTTTTTCCCCTGCAACTATCTCATGAGTCACAAGCTCTGTTCTACCAGAGAATGCTTCTGCAATCGTTTCAGTGGCTGCACCGGAGCCTGTCCGGAGCATCCTGCTCTATAAATTTCCTGCTGTTGATGTAGTGTTAATGCACGGCTGAATATCCTGAACATGGAGGATACCTGCCATCAGCAGTTGGCTCTCCCGGGGCAGCGGCTGCTCTGGGCACTGAATCAATCACACGATTGATTGGCACGGTCAGAGGTGCCGCTGCTGTGGGGTGCAGGCAGAGCCGCTGCTGTGGGATGCAGGCGGAGGTGCTGTGGGGTGCAGGCAGAGTGCAGCCTCACCATGGGGAAGCACTGCCAGCGCCAAGCTGGGCTTGCAGCCCGGAGGCAGCTCAGACCGTTCCAGGGCAGTCAGTTCCCAGGTCTTGTGTTGACACCAGACTCCAGCAGCACACTTGGGGTTTCCAGCACCAAGCGCTGGTGATGCTGCCTTGGTGAGGCGCTGGAGGGTTGTGGGTCTGCTGAGATCCGTGGGGCTGGGGCTGCCTTTGCTCCCCTTTCCCTGTCCCTAAAAGGGCGTTTTCTAACTGTGGAGGGGCGAAGCCTTGGCTGGGCAGACACAACGAGCTGAAACCCTCCCCTGTGCTTGTGTGCGGGTGCAGGGTGTGAGCGGTACCAGCGCGGGCGACCCACCCACCCGGGAGGGAGCTCCCACGGGGCACTTGTGACTGCACCCTCCTTAAATCCATACAAACATCTCTTAATGCGTACCTTTTGGCACTTACAGTGTAGCCTTTGTCCTCCGACTGGCTTCTGAGCTCAGGTGCGAGCAGGGGGGGTCCAGTCCCTGGCAGGAGGAGGTGAACGCAGCTGTTTTCTCTGGACTTTCCAACCAAGAAGCTGTAACAGGCTCTGCTGTGCTGGCATTGGGGCGGGGAGGAAGCTCCAGCCCTCCGCTTGCCTTCCACTGGGGAGCAGAGCTTGGGGGAAGCTTGGTGCCAGGTCTGAGCTCTTGGTGCCCAGCTCAGGAACGGGGGAAGGCAGCTGGTGCTGGATGGCAGCGTTAGATCGCCCTGGAGAACCGGCAGCTTCTCCAAACCCACGCACGGCCAGGGCTGCTCCAGGCGCTGAGCCCCAGCTTGGTGCCCTCGCCCAGCCTCCAGCCCGGGGGTTGTGGGAAGGGCTCCAGGTCACAGGAGCCAGCCCGTGGTGCTGGGGTTTGGGGTGGTGGTGCTGTGACACCCCTTTCCCTCCCATCACTACCCCCCCATCCTGCTGCAGCGGAGTGAACCCCCTGGTACGCGATGCTGCAGCCAGGACCCAGCACAGCGCCCCAAGCTGGGCCAGGAACCAGCCCCGGGGACAAGCACAGTGCGTTCCCTGCCCTGCAAGGTCCCAGGGAGCCCTGCAGCCTCGGGGAGAGGCGTGTGAACAAGCGAGGACCAGCGCCATAGCAGCAATGGGTCTGAGGACACAGGAGAGGTCAGAGGGGAGCCCCCACACAGCGCCACGGGGCACCGCCATCGCTAACCACGACGTTCAGACAGAGAGGAACCCACTTCTTGGCCAACCAGTTTTATTATTCAAGTCCACGGATAAAGCAGTTGGATACTCACACTTGCAGCTGCTCGTTAAACAGGAGCGTGACCCTTCATCAGAGCGCTGCTGAAAGCAGGCGATGGGGACAGGGACCAGCAGCAGCCACCCGCTGCCAGGGGCACACCTCACCGGCAAACACGAACACAGCGGCCAGAGCGGGAAGCAGCGCAGGGCCAAGGCACACCAGGTTCCTCCTGCGCCCCCAAAAACGCCGCAGCTCCTCCTTCACGCTGTTTACAGAGATTATTGTTCTTTCCAGAGGCGGGTAACGCTGTCACGAAAAGGCCGGGAACTGCAGGTACCGAGCCCTTTGGGGGTGAGAGAAGCATTCACCCCCCCGACGATTGCAGCTGTGCCCAGTGAGAGCCACGGGCTCGTAACCCAGCACATCCAAGGGGCTTACGGCCACTCAGCACTGGCAAGCGCCACAGAAATAACAGTCGATGTTCATCCCCACAAAGCATCGGGGAGCACCGTTCTCCAGCTACCGGCATGAGGTCTCAAAACAGCGTAAGGACTCGGCAGGTTTGCTGCCGCTGTGGCTGATGCTCAACCCAGCGCAGCGTTTCCTCACCCAGAGCCGGCGGGTGATGCAGTCTCTGCAGCTCATCTATATTTCATCACCTTGCCTCTCCCTGCTGCAGAACAGCGCTCACCCTCGCCGAGGTCAGCTCCGAACCCGCCTCCCTCAGCTCAGCCGGAGCGAAGACGCGGCGTTGTTCTTGGCAGCGTAAATACGTGGATTTGCAAATACATTTTTCAAGGCTAGTGTAAAGAAATTCACGTTCGCCCCGTAGCAGCATGTCCCGAGTTACACGGCAGACAACACGCTGTCGCTGCAAACCAAGGCCGGAGGAGGACACAGCCGGCGTGGAAGCCCTCTCCTACATCTCGTTTTGCTTTCTTGAAGTGGTTAGAAGAAAAAATAGATTGATTTCAAACACGGACATTATCACTTCACCGTTCTTTGGTACAGACATTGGCCACAATAACCGACTGGGACACTTGACACCACAAGCACATGGCACACTTTGAGTTTAAGAGGTGCTTGAAATTTCTTTTCTGCTATATAAAAAAAAAAAAGGAAACGCTTCCAAAAAACCACTTGCCAGCCACGTGCCCAGAATTTCTGCTGCTTTTTAAACACACACCATATTCGTAATTCATTTTATCCCTTGAGAGTCCAACTGGAAAACCCCAGCTACCGTTTCCGCTCGCCTTTCTGTGTCCTTTTCTTCTCCTTTTCCTTCCGCTCCTGCTTGGCTAGCTTATCCTTCTCCCGCTGCAGTTTATCTTGCTCCTTTTTCTTCTGGAACTCATCTCGCAGCAGCTCCCGTTCCAGCTTCCTGGCATTCAAGACGTCCTCCACGTTTGTGTTTCGGAACAGCGCTGGTGGTGTGTTAAGGGCAGACAACGCTCTGGTTTCTGCGCTGCAGCCGTATTTTGGAGCTCTGAACTGGCTTCAGCACACAGGTGGTTTATTCTATGTTCACCTTCTAACTCCCACTTCTGCTTCCTCCCCGAGCAGGTAAGGAATTTGGGAATGAGGAATGGAGAAAGAAAAAGGAATCTCTGCTCGGTTTTCCAAATAGAAAAGTCACGTAGAGTAAAAGCACGCTCCCTAGAAAAGGATTTTTTCCAAGAAAAATCAAGTTGCCTACAGGTTCTTAAGACAGATAATGTAAAAAAAATTTGTAAAACCTCTACAAACCTTCGAGGAAGAAAACATATCCGGTGCAGCTTCCTGGAGTGGATTCACCACACTGCGTGTGACATCAATGTTTGTACATGTGTGTCCGTGTTCCTCGCCCGGTGCGCAATGAGCGCGGCCACGCAGAGCCCACAGATTGTTCATTGCGTGTCTGCGCAGAGCTGGGCGCTGGGTGGCGATTCCACGAAGCTGCACACCCGCGTTCAGTCCCCCTGTGGGGTTACACTGCTCAAAATGTGACGGCCGCATCCTCCTAACTGTAACTGTTAGTTTTTATCTCAGCTGCGGCTGGTCAGCTCTTTTCTCGCTTTGATTTAAAAGCACAGTGTTCCTCACATTTCTACACATGCTCGGTATGCGGGGCTCTTAATTCAGGAGGGTTGCACCACACTTGGAGGTTGATTTTTGGTATTATAATTACATTAAAATGAGGATCGGTCACTTTTGGACAGTGCTACTCCCTGACTTGGCTGGCTCCCCAGACATAGTGATTATTTTCCAGGATGTTCCCGTCTTCAAGGGTAAATCTAACAGACCTTACGTGATTAAAGAGTTTTTCTCACCAGTCCCAAGGACAGTTTTCCTAACCCACACAGAGAGAACAGATTTGTTACATCAGCTTCTAACTTCACTTGCAACACACCTGCGTAGCGTCGGTACCTGCAGCCCCTGGGAGCTGACTCCCAGCAGGTACCAGGCCTCCCAGTAGCTCCCTAACGGCTGGTCCCAGCTCCTGGGATGGGGACGATGGCCCACAGCGCTGGCTGGGGCAGCTCTGCCCGTCCCACCGGCCGTGCAGGACGGCTGCAGACACGGGAGCGGCTGAGGCAGCTCACGCCAAGGATGGCCACGCTCTCGTGTCCTCTCCTGCAGCGACCAGCAGCAAACGCTTTGGGAAGAGCATTGGAGCGAGGGGGCGTCTCCTCCACTGGCTCTTCCTCCTACTCATCAATGATGCAGGGACAAGAATAATTTAGGTTTCACTTCTTAATTATGTGATAAAACTGCTTCCATCATAAACCTGCCAGCTGCTGAGCTCCAGGAACGTCCCAATTACTGTGCAGAGAAGCACAGGGGATAATCGGTCCTTGTTCACCATTACAGTCCAGCCCTGCGAGTTTCACTGTAGTTGTGTTTCTGTTGTGCTTTTGAATAGTTCTCGACACAATTCACCTCTCTGGACACTAACCTGGTGTTCTGGGAGAATTATCCTTCTTAACAGCATGTTCTGTGAAGCTCCAGAGGGTGGAAGAGAGAAGGAAGGAACAGAGGAGAGAAAAGAGAATGCCAGGGTCAGTCTCAGCTCAGCACGTGGGGCAGGGAGCAGGCGGACCTCAAACTTTCCTGACGAGCAAGGTCAGGTTACATGGAAAGCAAAATCAATCACCAAACTTAAAACGTGGCACTAAAGGAACAGGGAGTACCAGCGGGATAAGGAGGGATGGGGAAGCTCACCGTGGAAACTGCCTTCCTTCCAAAAAGCCTAGGTCACTGAACACTCAAAGGATACATTTTTCTGATCCGATATTCACTGCTGTCGCATTCGATCCATCCTGTTCATCCTCGCCGGTGAGAGAATTAAGGAAATATGGACATCAGGCATGAACTGGTGCCTCTGTACAGTCCCGTTTAGCTCAAAACACGTCAAATCACAACTGTGCCAAGCCACGAGAAAGCAGCTGAACACTCCTGCAGACCAAGACCAGGTAAGCACAACCCCAGCGTCCGGCTCCCTCCCACTGCTCCAGTGCCGGCTACGATTCCCTCCTACTCAGCTTTGTTCTTCAAGGAAGAACGTGTTTTTCAGCACTACAAAAAGGTAATTTTAAACTCTCCCACTCTACACACTCTCTCTAAGGAGGATAGTTTCAACCGATTTCTGATCAGAAAGCAAGAGATAACTTCAATGCCTTAGCTATCGTGCAGAGAGGTACCGGGAGGCGATTCACTCCCCCTGTGCACCACACCTGGAGTGGGAAAACCTTCCCCAGCCCAGCACGTGTTGGTGGGGAGCGTGGGAATTGCAGAAAAACATCCTCAGAGGAGCATCTGCTCACGGCACTCCACAAACTAGGAGCTCCCGTGTTTTTTTCCATAGAAGTTATTTTATCGTGGAGAAGGAAGATTGAAAAGTTTCTCCAATTCTCCCCACTACACGCTGCAAAGCTGGAAAAGCATTTTAGGAGATTTTTAATAAACACTGTCCATCAAAGCAACGAGTCTCGACTGGGGCAGGAAAAGGATATTCCTCCTCGTCCGTCACGTTGGCGTACTGGGCCAGGAGGGCGGCTTTCCTTTGCTTCTCTTCCTGAGAGACCTCCTTGGGCTTCACCACGATCCTGGCCTGCTTCTCCATCATGCTGGCGATGGCCTGGACCTCATCTGGCAGGGAGAGAGTCAGAGCATCAGTCAGTCCCCGCGGCCACGGCAGCAGAGTCCCAGCTGGCAGACGCCACACACCGCTGCCCTCCTGCATCTGCAGTCCCCAAAAGGCACCGTCCCACTGTCACAGGCTGTGGCCCTGGGGGACAAATGCACCAAGCTAAGGGGAGAAGCGTCACCCAAAAATGTCCCCCACCCTCCTCCCAAGGTCACAAGCGGTGCTGTCAACTCCCAGAGCGCAGCGAGGGGCCGTTTTGGGGAATTCAATCTCGGACTGGAGAGACGGGAGCTGCTGCAGAGCTACCCAAGGCGGCAGCCGGGGCGGGGATGTGACACCAGCTCACCAGGAGGAATTCCCCCGTGCCGCGCGCAGCCACCAGCTGACGCTGTTTTTGCTGGAGCAAGGAAAGTTTCCCAGTGAAACTCTGAAATCAGGGAGACTCTTGCTAATGAAACCCCATTTTACTCCAACTGGCATTGTCGTGTGGTTAGAAGAGGCTGAGGTCACTTAACCACGCACTTCAAACACGGTAAACAGACATTCTGAAAACCCAACGTGACTGATCAGCTTAACGCTCGCTCTTTCCTACCTACCCAGGGAAGCAAACAGCTGATTTCACACTGGAGTTCTGCTGCCCGTTTCTGAACGTGACATTTGGGGTTTGACATCAAATTTTTTTAGTTTTTTATCTTTAGGGTTCTGTTATTCTAAGTGGGTATTGATTTCATTCGGGATTTATCCTTCTATGGAACCCCAGTGAAATCATTAAATCTTTGCGTTTCTAACAAGCTAGACACCTTCTTTCTGTGACAAGCAAGAAAAGTCCCTGCGGGTACCCAACAGGACGAGCAGGAGGAGCCCAGCAGCAGCTCCAGCAATTCCCATCACTTGTCCCCAAAAGACAGATTTATTTTCTTTAATGCACAGAATAGTGTAACTTTTCCATGTCCCCCGCCAAAGGCAAGGACAGGCTTCAGAGAATTTTGGGGGAAAGCCAGCGAGCTGCTGCAGGGTTCAGCTGCCTCATCCCTAAAGAGGAGGCAAGGGATATTTGTGAACCCCAGATTTGGCCAAGAAAAGCACGATACAAACGCCGGCCTTGTGAGCAGGGCTCACTGCTTCTAGAACAATGTCAGCCAGTGACAATATTCTGTTTGCAATCACAACCAACAACAAAAAAAAAGGCAAAGCAAACCCAAAGCGGGATTGAGCCAAAAGGGACGTTACGTGGTCACGGGCCCCAGTGAGGTCCAGACAGTTGGCAGATCACTAACCGATCCGTGCCGTAAGCTTCAACTGGAAAAATCCAGCATCTGGCTTCACTGTACCCCAGAGCTCTACCCAGTGACTTTCGCCCCCCAGGAGCAAGAACCACGCGGGGGTCTGCGCTCCCGAGCCGACAGCGAAGCCAAGGGCTGAATTCGGGGGGGAACAAAGAAGCAGTGGGACTGTCATGGGACGGGGAAGGAGCAGCGTTAGAGCAGCAGCAGCCTCACAGAGCTTCCCCCACTACAAGCGTTTATGTGGAAAAAAAACTCAAACAGGACAGTTTTAAGAGAAGATTTTTAAAGAGGAAAATAAGGGAGCTTTCCTGATGGGTACTGGGACCTCCTCCTGGGGTGGGCAGCAGCGGAAGGGACAGCACTGCTCGCTGTGGGTGCGGCTGTAGGAATATAAAACCTCGCTTCCCAACCCAGCACGGGCATTTTATACCATAGCAACTGCACCAGCTGCCAGCGCTACTTCGTTAGCATTTAATAGAGAGGAAGCCCTAGGGGTTTTGCAAAAGGAAATTTAAAAAAAATCCTACAGGAAAAAAAAAAAAAGAGCTTTTCATGTGCAGGATTATGAACCCAAAGAGAACAGAACGCTAGGGCCAGCCAGAACTGAAACTACTCGTCCTCATTTCATATTTCAAGACAAAACAGTAAATAGGCAGCAATGGCAATGAGAAGCAAGTCACAAATCCATTAACGGCGTTGGGTTTAACTCCCAACAGGAGGAACGGCCAGTTCTCATCTTGGGAAGCCCTGCAAGTCGCGCATCCCCAGGAAAGGCACACCCAGACACTACCTTCTTTTTTCTCTTTGGCGTCAACGATCTGAGATTCAGACCACTTCTCGACTACTTCCCTGCAGACAGCGTTTAAGAGATCTTCTTCCTAGTAAGGGAAAAGAGACTTCTCAGTCTTGGAACAAAGTTGCTCTGCTTTTACCAAAACACGAGGTGTTACGGTGCCATCCCGCAGCTCTGCACCGCGCCAGGAGATGCTGCATCCCCGCGGCGGTTTCCTTTTCGCACGATAACAGCTCTAACAGCACACACTGGGTTCACAGCAGCTAGCTCTCTACGTACAACAGCCCCACGGACGCGGCAGAAAGGCCATCGGGATGTCTTCACTCTGGATATCTGCTGCCCAACTTCGTGTCTCTTCCGGAGCAAGGCTGCGAGAAGCTGCTCAAAGGCCACTTCCGAGCCAATCCCACCTAAATCAGACTGGGTACAACTGGGGGAGGGCCAGTACGGAGCTGGAGCTACTTTGGTGGTGCTGACAGACCATCTCCTCCCGTCCTCAGGCGT